AGATATAATTGTACAAGAACAAGAGCCATTCCCCAACAGATACAAGGTCAGCGATGAACGTGATAATACAGAGAAACATGGAATGACTTACATGATCTGATGTGAAATGAAATAAGAAAAGCCAGGAAAACTAGATACACAACAACTGTCCCAATGTAAGTGGAAAGAACAACCATCATGATATGATGGAAACTAAATATTGTGAAATTATAAAAAACAAGCTTAGCTCCAAAGAAGGACTAGGTGAAGGCACCTCCTCCTGGCTCTTTGCAGAGGTCAAGGTCCATAGGTGTGGAACATTGCATAGAAAGTCAGGTTGTTTCAATGAGTTGGTTAGCTCTGACAATTTTTTTTTTCTTCCTCCTCTTTTAAAAAAATTTCTTTGTTATATGGGTTATCTTTCTGGGAGGGGGTGGACAAGGGATGGGGGGGATCTAGGCAATGTAAAACAAAAGATATCAATAAAAATCTATTTTTAAAAATGTTTGGGTATCCAGAGAGTGCCAACTAAGCAGGAAATATAGGGAGGGAATGTAAATCATGTAGCATTTTGAAAACTTGCCAGTTTTGCTTAGCAAATCACTTCCCAAAACTGAAAAGGGATGTCAGACAAAATCTCATGAATATCATACCAGTAAATATTTATAAGATTGACCTTATAACGCAGTTCTTCCAGGAGATAACATATAAATTTATCTCACAAAATATGACATCTAGAAGGAGATTGCCTGCAGGACTTTGTAGGAGAGAGGGGAAAGTGAAGGTAGTAGTAGTAGTGGTAGTAGTGGTAGTAGTAGTAGTAGTATATCATATAAAGTGCTATATACATGTTAGCTTTTATTAATATGAACATAAATCAATATGCATATTAGCTATTATTATTGTTAACAATAACAGCTAGGATTTCTATAGTACTTTCAGGTTGGCCCAGCACTTTACATATGGTATCTCAGTCGATCTATATTCTCCTATCTATACCATTGCGTGCCTTAGCCCTAAGAAGAAGCTCATCCCTTCTTGCAATCTGCTTCCTGGAAGAAATGGCCAGGACACTTCTCTGCTCCAATGTCCATATGAATAATTGGGATCATAGCCAGAGGGGAACAGGGCTTCAAAGACTTGGTCTCCTATGCAAGAGTTCTCATGAACCTATAGAATTTTTAATCTAATTCAATTAAACAAATTTGTATTATGTGTTTAACTCTGTATAAGGCACTAGAGATACATAAATGTAAAAGGCTGAAACTGCTATCCTCATCTTACTACTTTTGGTGCTGGAATAGTTGATTGACTAGCATTTATTATATGCTAACTGTGTGCCAGGCAGTGGGCTAGGTACTGGTGATATAAACACCCAAGTGAGACAGTCTCTGCCCTCAAGGATCTTGCATTCTAGGGGGGAGGGAAGGAGATACAACATTTCGCAGAATGTACAAAAACTGTCAGAAGTGTTTGGGGCTGGGGAGAGGCACTGACAAGGATACTTCTTTACAGTTCCAGCTATCCCAGAGCACAATGGGAGGTCCTTGTATTGGAAGACTTGAAAAGTGTCTGGATACATCATCAGGTACACATCATGGTGGGAATTCCTTTCAGGTGCAAGCTGAGCTAGGCTGCTGCTGAAAGCCCTTCCAATTCCCTTGGATCAGGAAAGGTCTCTTGAAGGCACTGGCACAAGACAGGTGAGAAAAGAGAGTATCTGAGGATGGCAGAGAGCCCGTACAAAGACGTACCGGTAGGAGATGAAATGTCATGTATGAGGAAAGCAAGTTCAGCCAGGTTGGCTGTCGCATAAAGTTCCTTGGGGAGAGAAACGTGTCAACAACTTGAAAAGGCTGAAAGTCGCTAGATCTCGTATGCCCCTTTAATTTTATAGACAAGGGGATAATGAATTATAGCTAATATGAATCTAGTACTTTATATACATTATCCCTTTTGATTCTCATCCCCGAGAGCTATTTTTTCATTATCCCCATTTTATAGACAAGGAAATTGAGGTAATGGGTCATAAGTAGGATTTGAACTCTGGTCTCTCCTGACTCCAGGTCCAGTATACTCTGCTGTCTCTGTGTGGTTCCATAAATTTCCCACAATTCGCACTTCCAAACCATGTCCTAACTCCTCCCAGCCAGCACTATTTTCCTGTGAAAACTCAGTCAGCAGCCGCTGCAGACAGTAGGATTAGGGCTAGGTAAGAGTCTTCTACCCAACTAGCTCCAGACTGTCTGAGAGAAAAAAAAACCTTGCAGAAAATTGCCACCAGCTCACCCAGTTTATCCTACTTTTTATTTTGCTCCAACTCTTTTTTTGTTCCTACTTTCAGTAGACCCATAGCAATAATGTTTCCAATGGTTCTGGACATCAGAACAATCAGCATCAGTACTCAAGGTGAGATATCCTATTTGCAGAGTTTAAAAAAATCTTTCTTGCCCAAAGTATTACTTGTCTTAAGCTCAGCCCTGTTTTTCTTTTTAAATTAATTTTTTTCCACTTAATGGTTTTTTTTTCTTTCCCACTGTCCCCACCCCCACCCCACCCCCCACCCCCGGCCACACACACGGTAAAAAAAAGAATAAAAACCCTTGTAACAAATATATAGAATCAAGCAAAATAAATTCCTACATTGAACACGTGCAGAAATGTTATGTCTCCTGCAATGACTTCATCACCTCTCAGTCAGGTGGGAGGGAACAGTCTTCATCACTGGTCCTTTGAGATCATGGCCAGCCATTGTATTGATGAAGGCCCTTAAGCCTTTCAATGTTGTTTACCAGATTATACAATGTTGCTGTTATTATATAATATCATCCTGGCTCTGCTCACTTCACTCGGCATGGGTCCACATGAAGTCTTGGCACCCCGCTCCATCTTCTTAGAGGCCCAGCTGAGGAGGGTGACTGGAGGGAACAGGTCCCTCCCATTTCCACTCCCCCAAACAATGGTTCTTGGGCCACTTCCAAGACCAGGAGGAAAAGGTCCTCCTCAGAATCCTCCCACCCTCCCACTGCAAAAACCATGCACACCCTAGGAACACTAAAAGGCAGAAGGGCTGAATTCGAGAGAGACACCAGAGACCCCACCTCTAACATGGGACCCCCACACAAGTGGAGACATTTGTCTTGTTATGAATAAGCATCATTAAGGGGACCTGGCCCCTGGCCAGCCGCAAAGCCCTTCTGGACCAAGTGGTCAATGGACAAGATTGTAAGAGCAGCTGCTTTAGAATGTGGGGGTGGGCGGGAGGGGGTGGGGGCGGGGTTATACTCCAGTCCCTGGGAGTTACTCTAGAAGAATTGCTAGGTCTGTTTTGTACTGCCTGCAGCCTCTTCCAAAAGGCAGCGTCTACAACAACCAGCCTCCTGCACGGATAAACGAGCCAATGCATGTAAAGGACTTTGCAAACTTTAAGGCACATGTATGTATGTACACATATCTGTAGGTGTGAAACCATGTATGTCAGTGGTTGTTTTGATAATTACTGCCTTCCCCACCCTCCCCATGCGTGGTAGGTCGGGGGGAGGAGGGGCAATGTCAAAATCCCAGGAAAACGATTTGGTCTCCAGGTCCTAGGCTCACTCCTACGCGGTGCAGTAAGAACACTCGACGAGGAGTCCCAAGACCTGAGCTCGAATCCTACCTGGTGACCTCGCTCCAGTCGTTTCCCTTGTGGGGAAGAAGTTTCCTCCTGCGAAGGGGGGGAGGGGGAAGGAAGTAGGTTGGAAGAGACTGGGGAATCTCGGAGGTTGGATGTGGGCTCTCCGGGTGGGTCAAACGAGGGGGTGGGGTCGGACCAGGTAGTGCCAGGTCCTTTCCTCCGCGGGATGCTCAGAGGGGCGGACGCTTGGCCGACACACTATGAGTGCTAGTCCCGCGGAGGGACGCTCTGTGCCAAGGTCGCCGGGCATGACCAGGGAGTGAGTGCCTCCAGCGGCCGCCTGGCACCCCCAGAGCCCCGGGTAGGAGCAGCGGGAGCAGGTGGGCTCCGCGGCCCCGCCTCCCCGAACCGGCGGCGGCCACACGGTGCACGGCGTGCAGCCTGGCCAGGGAGCGGCGCGGGCAGCGGGCAGCGGGCAGCCTGAGCCACTGCGGAGCGCGAGCCGGGCGGCGGCTCAGGACTTGCGGCCCGGGACGGCGGGCGGGACAGAGCCGGAGCAGCGCCGCCCCCTCCCCGTAATGTAGCCCTCGCCTCTTGCCTTCCTTGTGTGTGTGTGTGAGTGAGTATGCGTGTGCGTGTGTGTCCCGGGCCCGCGGGGGAGCGGAGCAGGCGGAAGGTGGGGGAAGGGGAGCAGCCGGGGCGTGCAGCTCCCCACCGACAGCGCCCCCCATCTCCAGCTGCCCTCCTTGGAGCTGGCTCAGGGCCCGGTCCCGGGACATCGGGGGCGCTGCCAGGCGGTAACCGGATCCGGGAGCCGGACCAGGTCACTTGTGGGTTGCTTAGAGACTCCCCGGGCTCAGACGAGCGGCCCCTGGCACGGAGGGTGCCCGAGTTCGGGCTTCGCTCCCCACTGCCCGGCGCCTGCTGCCCCCCCCCCCCCCCCCCGCCCCCGCCAAGGGCCGGGGGCCGGGGGGGGGGCGGGGGGAGGGGGGCCCGGGGCCCGGCGGGGGCGGGGGGAGGGGAGAAGCCCCGGCAGTAGCGATGGACGCTCGCCAAGGCCCCCAGATCCGGCCGCAAGCTGAAGGATGCTCGGCTGCGGGGGTGGGGTCTTGGGGGTGCACCAGCGGAGCCGCGCATTCCGGGGGCGGGCGGCCCACCCTGGGACAGGAGCCTGGGACACCGTGGGCAGCCTCTCCCGGGAGCAGAGCGCAGGCTGCGTTCGGAAAGTAACCCGCTGCCTGCGTGGGGGCAGCGGTGCTGAGCCCGAGCTGGCGGGGTTGGGGGGGGGAGCGAGGGGTGGGAGGAACAGGGGAAGGAGCCGCCTCCCGCCTCCTTGGGGAAGGAGCTCTCCGGAGGCAGCAGGTAGAGAGAGCGCTGTGTGCAGGCTTAGGAGAGGAGAAGACGAGAGGGAGGGAACAGGAGGTGGGGGGGCTGCCTCCCCTTTCCTTAGCATCCCTCCCACTCAGGGCCACTGGGAGGGCCCTCCCTCGGCAGGAAAGTTCACAAGTCTTGGGAAGCTTTGCTGTGGGCCGGGAGAGGATCTCGCCTTCATTTCCTAGGAGGGCCACGGGGGCATTTTACCTGCGTTAAGAATTATTGACAGCCAGATGATTTGACACCAGGTGAGAATCACCCTTTTAAAAAAAAAAAAAAAAGTTGTTCAGGAAAACCCAGGGATGGATCGGGATGCAGACGTTCTGCACCTGCTGGTTCTCTTGGATCCAGACCTTTGGTGAATTCGGTTTGAGAGTGACAGAAAGAAAGAAGAGAAAATGAAAAGTTGAGGGCAAAAAGGAGGAGGAGGAGAGGAAAGAAATGGTGTTGGTGGAGAAACATCTTAGTCTTTTCTGGTGGCTGGGAGAGAATATTTGGAAAAGCTGCTTGTCTTGTGCGTCAGTGTTGTGTCATCCAGTGCCAGAGCTGGCGGGGCTGGCTTTGAGAAATCACCTATTTCAGCCCAGAGCTGGGAGGGAGGACGGACATTTGTGGGATGACCTTTTCTTTTTTTCTTCCTCTGGTATACTCTTTGTTTTCTCATGAGGTTCTGTCGCAGCCTGAAGTTATTTAGGAGCAGAAGGCATGGAGGATGTGTGTGTGTTGCATATAGTGAGCTTTAAGAACATGAGAATTGGAGGAAGAGGAAAAATTCATCTAGTCCAACCTGAGGGGGGGCACCTCTTTTTATGTAGGTCTGGGGTGTACAGACCATCTCATGCAGTGTGAGTTTGTGTAGACATTCCCAAAAGGGGTGTAAGGAAACCCACAAGTAAGAAGGCGTGTGAGAATACAGTTCACACCAAAGGCTAAGAAGCAGGCAGCTGCTAGCAACAAATTCTCCCTCGACCTTGGGTCATCCTGGAAGAGCCCAATAGCAGACTAGCGATCCTAAAATGAACTTTTCACCTTTTTCAGCACTCATTCTGCCTTTATAGAATGCTTCTCAGAAAGCACTTTCCCCGCAACTGCCGGGTGAGGCAGGCTGCTAGGTAGATAGGACCGGTATTACATATCGTCCCCATTTTACAGATGAGGAAGCTTCAGTTCCCCAAGGTCAAGTGCCTTGTCCTCAGTCACATAGCTTAGGAAAGGTGAGGGCAGGGCTGCCCAGGAACCTCGAAGTCCAAAGCCAAGGTTGCTTCTAGTGCTACCCTCGTGCTACCACAATTCGTAAAGATTGGTAAAGGATGTCAGCTTGTTTCATGTGAAACTAAAAAAAGCAATTGCAAAATAACTCATCAGAAGAACAAAAGCAATTTGTTTACAACATGTTCTGAAATTATTGGATATTTCAGGCACAGAAGGAACACAGAGAAAAGTGATCATACAGATAGGATCTACACATATTTTAGGGACAGGACTCATGATTTCATTGGTGGAGGGAACTTCCACATGAGGAAATGCCTTCCATCAATGTAAGGCAATGTAAGTCTCAGCAATTTACAGTCAGAGTTTCCTGGAGCATTGAGAAGGTTAAGTGACTTACTCATGGTCACACGTCTGTTCGTATCAGAGCGGGGTACTGAGGGCTGGCTCTTCAGCCACTGTGCCGCCTGCAGATCACAAAAGAAGAGTTAGTTTCACGCTGCCTGTTTCGGGTGGACCTCTATTCCCTCCCCACCCCCAAGTTTATCTCAATGGTGGGGCTTTGAAAAATCTACATCTTAGTGTCACACATTTGGAAGGAGGATTGGGGTTTGGTGTGATTGAACATGATTATGCAACAGAAAGTTATCTTTAGGCAAGGTTTCCTTTGTCACCACACTCCTTATGCCATCTGCCTGCTAGTATTTTTAGAAAGAAATTCTAACATTGAACTGTTTTCACTCATAGCCCGACCAAATCAACCTTGATTTAACTGTCAAATACGAGGGAAGGTTGGGGAGCGAGCTGTTCTTTTAAAACAATATATTTTTGATGTTTTCTTATTGCTTTCCAGTCTTCCATCAAAGTCATTTCCTCAGACTCCACTTTTTTGTAACAAATTGTGCAAGACTTACCAACAGATAATGACTGACGCTCTTGATTGTGTATCCCATAGTCTACATCCATAGGCCCCCGCCTCTTTACTGAGAGAAGAAAAGAATCTTTCAGTAGCATTTCTCCATGCCTGAGATTGGTTATTATAGTCAACCGGAGTTCAGCCGCCTTCCAGGTGTTGTTATATCTAGGTTATTGTTGTCATAGCATAGTTGGTCTCTACCTTCCCTGCTTTGGAGTCTATGCCCATTTAATAGGATGCTTGTATTGTACAAAATTCAAGAGATTTGGGCTTTCGTTGCGACTAGATACTAAATGCGAGTGTTGCTGTCTTTCTTACTGACTCAGCCAATGTGTGTTTGGAACTTAGAAGAAGGCCAGGAACCCAACCTGGCTGTTCACTGTTTGGCAGTGAGATGTCCCTGTTGGAGGATAATATCCTGTTTGGGGGCGGGGGGGAGAAGAGCAGCTATTCACTAGAATGTTTCCTTGAACAGCTGACAGAGAGAGGGACAGACGTTAAGTGGTGAGCTGTGTCCTGTGGGCCGTGGGCTGCTCACAGAGGTTCTTCGATGCATTTCCAGGGAGAAACCTTTATTAGCTTGGGATCAAGTCTGGTAATGTTCCATAATCTTGGGATCGTGGGATGAGAGTTTTAGAGCTGGGAGGGGCCTCAAAGGTCATGGAATCAGATCTGGGGCTGAGGGGGACCTCGGAGACCATCTCGCCCTCCCCATTTTATAGATGAAGAAACTAAGTCTTAGGGAGGTTAAAGTTGTCACACAGGTAGTAAGGATCGAAGGTGGGATTTGAACTCAGCCTCTGTGGCTCTGGAACCAGTTCTCTTTCCTCTGTATTCAGAAACACAACGCTTAGCACCCGAGTCTGCCTTTGGTGTCCCCCGCACGGTGTAGAAGTCAAAGTCAGCCATCTTTTGATCACTGATGAATTGCTTGGGGGTCTTTTTGTACCTCTGCCTTCCCGTCATAGCCAGTTCCCAGGCAGCAGGATCATGACTGAGCTCCAGGTTGGTTGTGGTCAACCACAAAGGTCATAGGATCAAAGATTTAAACCACAAGGAACCTTTGAGATCGTCTAGGTCCAAGCCTCTCATTTCTCTTTCTTTTTTGGGTTGGGCAGTGGGGAGAAGTGACTTGCCCAGGGTCACACAGGTAGTAAGTGTTACGTGTCTGAGGCTGGATTTGAACTCAGGTCCTCCTGACTCCAGGGCTGGTGCTCTATCCACTGTGCCACCTAGCTGCCCCCAAAACCTCTCATTTCTCAAGAGGAAATACAGGCCGAGGCAGATGAAACAGCTTATCCAAGGTCACCCAGGGACCAAACAGCAAGAACCAGGGTTGGGGCAGCTAGGTGGTGCAGTGGATAGAGCACCAGCCCTGGAGTCAGGAGGATCTGAGTTCAAATCTGGCCTCAGACCAAACACTTGACACTTACTAGCTGTGTGACCCAGGGCAAGTCACTTAACGCCAGTTGCCTAAATAAAAAAACAAACAAAAACAAAAAAAGAGCCAGGGTTTACACCCAGGTCATTTGACCCCAGTCCCACATATGTGAATTTGGGGCTTATGCACCTGACTCAGCCTCTCTCTCCATGTCTGCATTCAGAAATCCCAGAGTGCTTCTTCTGGGCGGTTATCAGTGTTTTTCTGGCTTCTATTAACTTCCACCCCCCTGCAAAACCTGGATAGTAGATGGCTGATTCTCTGGACAAGAGGCATAAATAAATGTGCTCTTTTCCCTCAAAGGATGCTGACCAAGCTTAGCTTTTAAAATCAGATGCGAATCAGGTGCTTTAAGAGAAGCAAAATATTCTCAGTGCTTCCTAGGACTTCCATGATTTATTCATCAGCTGCTTCTGCTGTGTTCCTCGGCAGCTTGGTGTTATAGCTGCAATTTCGATATTGCACATACCCCTGCAGGGTTGGATGTAATGTTCCTACTGGTGCAGGAGTGGGGTCAGGATTGGAGAGCAAAGATAAATGGGAAGTCCAAGATCATTTCAGATACACCCAAGTTTGCTGAATAATGCATCAGTGGGGCGTGGACCTGGTAAAGATGGGCAGGTTGGCGTAACTCTTGCTGGCTTCCCTCGAGAGCAGGACAGGAAGACCTTGAAGTCCTTCATCTGACTATGTACGCTGGCTGTGTGACCCTGGACAAGTCACTTAACCTTTAAGTGCTCTAGGAAACTCTACAAGTTGCAGAGAAGGTGCCCAGGTGCATTGGATGGAGGAGTTTTCTTTGGGAATTCCAGCTACCACTAACGTAGTGGGCCAATCTCTACCCCAGTTCAGTGCTGTGGTTCATAATAAAGAGAGACTTCCACTACAGGTGGCCTTTCCTGGTCTCTCCCCCTTCCCCATTAATGAGGAGGTATCTGGAAAATGAGAAGGTTGGACTCCATTGACCCCTAAGGTCCCTCCCAGCTCTAAATCTCTGATCCTCCATGTATGTCTTATACATACCAAGCTCTTTACATGTTGTTTCTTGCATTAGAAAGTGAGACCCTTGAGGGAAAGGACCATGTATCTTGCCTTTCTTTGTATACCCAGCACTTGGCATAGTGCCCAGCACATAGTAGGTGCTTAATAAATGCTTGCCATAGATGGCTCCAAAGGGTTGACCAGACTGCCGATGGCATCCGTGACTTAACCAGAGGTTAAAAATCCCTGAACTGAGTGACTTCTCTGAGCTCCCTTCTGGTTCTAGATGGGTGTTCTTGTACTCCTAAGGTGACCCCTGGGATCTTGAAGGCTCTCCAGAAAACCAGCAAACAAACTCTGGAAGGCTCCCCTCAGTTGGAAGGCCTCTGAGGACAGGCTGCCCAAGGGTACTCTTAGCTCAGCTTGGGGAAGTTCATCCCCGGGGTGGCTGCTGGGGAGTTTTTTGGCCACAGCAGCTGAAATGAGATAGCATATGTAAAGCAACCTTGAAGATCCATATAAATGCCAGCCTGGGTAAATGAAGAGAACTGTCCTCTCTGGCACATGGCAGGCTGTGGCTTGCCTTTTATGGGAGGGCCGTGTGGGCAGCTTGGCCTCTAGGAGAATGATCAAAGGGCAAAGTAAATAGATGGAGAAGACTGACCTTGGAGAGGAAAACAATTCTAATTCTGCCCCCAAGT